TCATCCCAATCCACCCAAAAGTCTGAAAAAATAGCCGATCGGCTTTTTTTCAGTTTCAATAGTTTGTTTTGCTCTGTTTTGTTTTACTTTTTGTTTTGTTGCCAATTATTCAGTATTCCTTTGCAAAAATGTTATGTTGACCGTATACGTGTAACGGGTGACATGGGGTGAGTCCAGACCACGGGCATTGTATAGACCCTACTACACCAATTAGTAGGTCTACATGTATCGTGTTTATCGCATCACAGTGAGCTGACACGTGCATGGATTTGCATATGTTTTAGCCCATGCCTAAATTGTTTCGTGTACAGAAGGGAGCTAATATCCAAATGAAATTCCTCACAAAAACTTGACAAAATAATCTTGTAAGCTTCAATTGAGATGGAAAATTTTGAAAATGAAAGCTAAGAAAAAAATGTTTCAGTCAACGACGAAAATCAAACTTTTAAGAACTCACCTTTCGTGAAGGGATGGTTCATTGGTACCTGTTACATGTATTCAGTTTTTACACAAATAGGGCCTAAGGGACGGCACGTTGTGCACATAATAGAATTTAGAATTGCCAAGATGGACGGCTACCTTCAGACATGTCCATGATAACGCCAATGTTTGGATCGAAGCAATTGTTCAGTTAAGTTCTTGGGTTTAATTTTTCTTATTTAGTCAACAAACATAGCACCAACACCCGGGTTGTTTTCTGTCATATATATTTCAGTCACCATGGGGGAGGGCTCGAGCTATCAATGGTAAATCCTGGTGTACCAGTGATAGAAATGTCCCTTTTACAAAAAAACAAGCCATTTTGACCTAGAAAAAGATTAAGCAAATGATCCCCGATTCCGGGAAAATTTGACCCAGAGAAGCTGTTTGAACATCTTGTTATAGCTGATGATTTGCTGGTAATATCCATAAACTACAAAGAATGTCATACTATACCTCTTTTTATATTATAGGGTGTGATCAGTTTCAATTTCATTGAAGGCTACAATATATCTTCACTTAAAGGCTGAAAGTTCGATATCATCCCGGCGGGTTGTGCACGCAAATGTTGATCTGCCATAGTCTAGTAGTCTAGTGTCCTCATTGCGTCTTCCTCCAGTGTATTTTACAACATAAACAACTTTCCCACCGATCTTCCCAATTATATAAGTAAGGTATTAGTATTTCAACTGCGGTTTACGTTTTCCCTCCTCTAAACGATGGAGGTCTATAGCCCAGTTTATTATGAACAATGACTATATTATCTTCTACGTTTGGAATGATAATATAGACTTCTGTCAGACGCACGAGAGAGCTGTGAAGGAGGTATTGACTGACCAAGCTGAACTTGGAATCGATGTTGTTACTGATGGAGAACTGAACAGGGAGAGCTATGTGTGGTATTTATGGTAAGCCAATACCTAGTCTGGTTCCATTTACCTGACGGTTCCCTGACGAGTTGTTATAGTAAAGTGGACCAAGTCCTAGAAAGCATGGCTCACAACGCGCAACGAACGGACATCATACTTTGTGCATAAAGGTTGTAAGCTTTGAAAACAATGGGGATCACATTTGATTATTTTATTAAGGCAAGTTTTGATTGAACTGTCAATTGAAAAAATCAGAAAATATCTCAAAAATTTTGCAGACTTCTCAAAACAAAAATAATGAGTGGCTTACCATAAGGCAAACAAGTGGTGATGAGTGTTGAAAGAGGAAAAAGAGGTTAACACGTTCGTAGTGCAGTGATGCTGTTTTCAAACGCGTTACATTCTCATTCACTAATCTGAATATTCAGATTTGCCCAAAAAGAACAAAAAAGTAAAGCGCAAGTTTGTTTTTGACTGAAACGGTTGAGCGTAGAGACGATACGAAATTGGACGCTCCTCGCCGAAAGTGTGTTCTCAATTTAAATTCACTTGAACATTTGAAACTATGTAATAAATGACGAATTTTAACATTGTAAGTGCCCAAAACTGGATTGTGTATGAATTTGAAAATGCAAATCTTTGAATTCGAAGGGAAAATGTCATAAAATAAAAACTGGGACGACGGACATATTCGTTTTAATTTGTGTACATGATTGGCTACGTCGGTGTATTTAATAAATTACAGTCATCACAGAAAAAACCAGGATCTTGTTCCCAGAGATGACTAAATACTGGAGGGTCAAGCCTCATATCCCACCGGGTCTCCCCTAGTTCCCTTGTCGTTAAATGTATTTGATTAAATAGGGACACCGATGCTGACTCAACACATCTACAAAAGTGAAAACAATATTGAAATCTCATACATTTCCTCTTTTTTCTCAGCCGATATTTGCAAGGCTTCAGTTTTGAAAATTTAGAAGTTTGTACATATCGCAATGGAGCCTGTATGAGTGCATTACCGCAAGTTATGGGCCGTGTAGGTAAGGACTAATTCAGCCATAGAAACTATAATATTGCTTAAAGTGCTGGTAATAAGAATGATGCATCTACAATGAGTTATTACGAAAAACAACATCTGTTCATAAAGTGCAATACCACTGCAGGAATCTGCCAGGATTTAATCGTTTCGCATGAACGCCAGATCAGAGTTCAATGGCCGAGTGACTGAACGGATGAGGTGAGAACGCCTACAAAGTTCACTGACTCCTGTTCAGTTGAAAGCACAGTTCACATTTGTCAGCTGAACCAACTAATGAATGGTTCATTTTTCATAGCTCGCCTTTTTGAGAACATTTACATAACAATTTGCACAAAAAATTAACTGTATTTCCGCTTATTATTTATTTTTTTATATAGATGTAGGCGATGCATTTGATGCCATAATCAAGCAATGGACTTTTGCCCAGGTAATATATATTGACAATTATGCAGACTCGTTCATCGATGCAATCGAATAACTTACAGCAATGTTGAAATAGTTTGGGATGATAAACATTTATCGTTCATAGATGAGGAATGCTCACACAAAAAACACAAATTGAAACAACATTGTTGTCAGTGGTTCAAAAGCTTTAAATGGTTCCATGCATAAAAGTAATTCCACATTATTCATTACTAAACCTCACAATTCTTAATAAATAAATAACCACGATGTCGTTGCAACTGCGAAATTTAAATATCAGACAAATCCAGGTAAGCACAAAAGGAAGTTAGACCGAGCTGTTATGAATTGGAATGCCTTATAGCATGTAACTAATGCATTATGCACATTGTACAAATGATCGTACAGGCGAATTCTTCTCAACCAGTAAAAGCAACTCTTCCTGGTCCATTAACCATCATGGGCACTTCGCAGAGTAAGTACATGACCTTGTCATTATTGACAAATCTACATGAACTGTGAACTAATGTCGTACCATACTGTATACGAAATTGTTAATAATTTTTTACTTTATGTTTCACTGTATAATTAATGGTTCAGGTAATTATTCTACAGAAGTGCCATGAGCGCTTATTCCTGAAGAATACCGGCGCTCTGTAAGTTGTCATTATTACAGTGTTCTTCAGAGAAAGCAAAATAAGTCTTTGATATTAGGTGCAAGGTGTTTTTGTATTAAACATCCTAATCATTCAGTTCAAAATCAGAAGCTATTCATTAAAAAAGATGAATGCAGTAAAACTGAAGTCAGATATCAAGCTTCCTTTCACCAATATTGCAACAGTAGAACACGGATTCTTACGCATAGACAGAAAATATAAAAGGTAACAAAATGGATGATCATCGGAAGATACCTCTTGTGGGGTTACCATCCGTTGCGCCTTGTCCGAACTACTTATGGGGTATTTATGTTGCTGTTTAAAGAAAGAGCATCTCATTTGTGATCCACATTTGGCTTCTCTTTAATTTAAAGTCAAATATTGAATGCTACAAATTGACTTATTTTCTGAACACCTTTCATTTCTCACTTTGATGAAGACAAGTTCTACCCTGATGATCAGCAGCTCAGCCGAGACCTTGTAGTTGCCATTAACAAGATTTTCACTGGTCTAGTTGCAGCTGGTGAGTATTTTATAACTGTACACCACTTCGTTTACAACTCCTATCTTGAGGCAGATTGGCTCCCAGTTTAATGAGAGTATTTTCATCATTGAGATTTTAATTGATAAAACCATCTCCCCGAATTTGATTAATATAGGCCGGGTACCAGTGCTCGTATTTCATGCTGCGCTGTTGTGCACTCTCTAGTTTGAAGCTATTCCAAAATCGAAAATTAAGAGGGTGGTGCTATGAATTATTCAAGAACCTATGCGTTGGTGTGTGATACGACACAAAATAGTATCTTCGTTGTCCCCCGAATTTTTTGCAGGCGGAAGGCACAGCTACACGTACTGTGTGTCTGGGGCCAGAAAAGGACAATGTGAAACATGGCCCGCTTCTCTTTCTTTGAAGGAAGTTTTTTCAATTCCTATTGCCTGTTAAAATAAAATTATTCAAATGTTGGGCTTAATTTTACATTAGTTCTTTTTATCATTTTTGTGACAGGATGCAAATATATACAGCTCGATGAACCTGTGTTCATGCGCGAGGTTAAGAGAAGTCTTGACTTTGGGATTGATCACGCCTCTCGTTGCATTGAAGGCTTAGGAAACGAGGTTACCAAGGCGATACATCTGTGTTGCGGCTACCCCAACCATTTAGTACGAATCTTGTTCTGTTCATGTTCCCCCACCATTATCAACAAATGAACAGGTTTTGGTGAGAGCCCCACAGAAGATAAAAGGACATTTATTTACAACATATTCCTAAGTTTTTCACATGTATTTTAAAAACATAAACGTGCAATATTTTACGAGCCTCGATGCTATCATGGTTAGGATGCACATGTGGCATTCCAGCATGGTGACTAATGTGTCAGTGTTTAAATAATTGAAACCCAAAGACAAATGGTAAACGCGACAAGGCTAAATTTAGTCCGTTGTCCTACAAACTAAAATTCTCAGTTGTTTCAATTTTCTTTACACTTCATGTTAAATGTTTCCTTCTTTCATGGTTTCAGTGATTCTTTTACAAAATTCAGTACTTAAAAACAAAACAACAGTGACAGCGTGTTCCTCTTGTATTCAAACAGGACGAGAAAGATTACCAAAAAGCTGATCCAAGGGGGTATTTTGACATCGCTGAAAAAATCGATCAAGCAGGATTTGACGAAAGTAGGTCTTGTCATGGTTCGTGACTTCTTTGTTTATAGCATTGCCATTGCTCCCTTGCACATTTGGAATATTTTGAACAACTGAGGTCTTAAAAATCCAGACTTAAAAACTTGGGGGGGGGATAAGACAGTTTAAGTCAATTGAAGCAAAGATGTTGTTCAGGCAATGTCAGTAGCTTTTTTGCCTCCTGGTTTTTGTATACATGTAGGCCTATATGTACATGTATTGTATCACAACATGGTGGAAATGTATATTGATATGCGTTTTTTTACCTATGTGAACTAAAACCGCACTGATTGAAAATTCCCATATTTCTATAGTTTCTATTGAAGACGCCCATCGACGGAACGACCTATCACTTCTGGCACTTTTTAAAAGGTCAAAGGTCATCCTGGGTTCTGTAACCATTGCAAGCAGTAGGGTTGAGACGGTGTCCGAGATACGGGACCGACTGAAGAGCGCCCTCAGTCACATTCCATGCGATCGGCTTCTTGTAGCCCCTGACTGTGGGCTCGGATTCCTGCCACGAAACATTATGAGAGAGAAACTGAAGAACATGGTTGAAGCGGCCAGATCACTGCCATAACATCAACAGAGGATTCTCACGCTAATGAACTGATCTAAACCAACCTAGGGCACCCGTCTATAAGCGTCTTTCGCCCGTCTGCACCGCCCTTAACAGCGACGTACGGTTTAGACCAACCTAGGGCACCCATCTATAATGCTTTAATAGGGCGGAGATTCTGACGTCAGGTAACTGTGACGAATTTCCTTGATTCCTTTACAATATTATGTGATAGGCACTTGCCCTTCAATGCATGGCCCAGCAAGGACCACGGAGCTTTGATTGTCGGCTATAAAGCCGCAGGCTGCACTGAATAGAACATAAAGGACAGACCAAACAAAATCAAACCAATCTCATAAAATTCCAGTTGTTTTAAAAAAGTTTACTTTGTACTCTTCCTCAAAAATAATAAAGTCTTGAAATCACTACAAATATGCGTTTGGCAAATCAGTAATTTATTAGTTGTAAGAGATCGCAGTTATATAGAAACTCTCTGACCAGAAAAATTTAATTTGCCGAGACATTTTCATTCAGAAAAGGTTAGGCTTGTTCCGAACAGTATGCTCTGCTCAGTCTTCGAGTGTTCACCATCGGCTCTTCTCAGAACCACACACTCATATAAGATATATTTTCTACATGGTGCAACCGCAAGCCTAACCTATTTAGTACTTCCACCATGCATAGTTTCAAGTCTTATCCATTTTCATTCAGGAAAAAAATATATGTGACAATTACTTGGGATGCCGCGCCGCTAAGTGATGGGTTCGTTTAAATAATTTCCATAATTTCTTTTTTTTCTGATCGATTGAGGTTTTCATCATTTCGCAAAGGCTGTTCGTAAACCAGGATTTAAAACTCTGCTTCATTTTTCTGTCATTCGTTTTTAATTAATTTACTGTTTTCACTTTCTCGACGTCCTTTGTTTATGCACCTCGCTTTTGTTTGTTTTTAAACTCTGAGCTTTGTTTTGATTTGGAGCATTCGTTTTGTAAAATATTTATTATGGACCTGTGGTGCCCCATAGGATGCGGTTGGAAAACTTAGCACCATCTGTCTTTTTTTTCGCCGGTGGGGGTGCGCTTCAGCTCAGGGTGGACACTATGAAAAAGTCCGACATGCAGAATGCTGTTGAGCGAGCTACTCTTGTGAACATGAGTACTCTCCCGAAGCGCACTGGCACGAACGGCAGGATACCCCGCAGGTCAGCGAGAGTATTCTCCCCTCGTGCAGGAGTGTACTCCTGACCCGAGAGTAATGCGCGCGCATCCTACACTCGATTGACAGGAGTAACCGCGCGAACGCAGCCGTAGATAGGTGTACTGACGTGGTCCGGGGAATTGACCATGTTCATCTACCTATTGTGCAACATTCTGCGCGTAAGGTTAATGGTTTTGTTATCTCCTTGATATGAACAGCGAAAAGCAACGTCTTTAAAATGACCGAGTGGTTGAGCTTACGTTATCAGATCGTTAGACGGTGGGTTCGAATCCCATCGGAGGCTTTTTATTTTGTCAATGCTTGTTGTCAGTCAGTAGCTACAAGAGAGTACCTTAGCCGACCGGGCAAGCTATTCTGCTGGGACTGTCCGCAAAGTCCAGGTGAGCACCTCAGTACAGGTTCGAGACGTATGGCCGACTTGTCGGCCTGGGCTTTAGGGGCTTGTCTCGTTTCCTCCCTTGCACGGTCCGTCGAACTATTCGGGGGTTAAATGGATGAGCAGCGCGGAAGTGTGGTGGGCTGAGACCCCAGAAAAGTCCTATATGGAAGCCGGTAACTGCGATTCCTTGCGAATTTCAGGAGTCCATGCGCCTGAATGCTTGGTCAACACAGCATAACTTTTGGATTTTTTAGTGAGCTGAAGGATTGATGCTTATTTATTTTCATCTATAATCTTTACTTCCTAAATAGTTGACAATGAAACCGATCTCAACCATTTTCGGGTTCATGTCTTCTGAGTGATCTCAATACAAAAAGCAGCGAGTTGTACTGTGAATATTTATTATTGATGACTGATTTAACAGTAACGGATCCAGATTGCACAGGCATTTTCATTTGTGATAACAACAAATTTCGTTTGCTTTTGACTGCAGAATAATTTGACATTTTCAAGAGAAATTCTCACAATAGACACATCCCGTTTGTATGTTGGATTAATCTTCTTGGGTCACCCCAACGTTGCAACAAATGCGTTGCAACTGCCGTTCTTTCTTGTGAAAGGTTGATCCATCACCGGCCAGACAGATCTGCCCGAAAAATACAAGCACGAAAATGATGAAATAATCTCAAAAGAATTTCAACAATAGAAAATTACATCGAGAATGCAATGAATGCCAAATAAGTGAAGCGTTTGGTTTTACCCTCCTCTCGCCGCAAAAGCTGCAGCCCATCCAACCTCTGTACATTGAGGCGCATAGCCCATTCAATTTTTCCTCCACGGCAACCCGGGTTACATTTAATTTTGATCTGACTGAAACTTAATGTTGTCTGTTTAGATAACCCGTACCATTCCGCATTTCTCTATTCGCTATCCATGAAAACGGCATGATGCAACACTGTCTTTGGAGTGACCGGAGACTTCACGAAGCAAAGATAATTTTACTTAAAAAAACAAACCCCAGATTATTATAGTTATTTGGATTTCTACTCACAACCAGTATATGGCGTTGATTATGCACCATCAAGAATGAAAGCCCTAGAATTAGCAGGTATCTATTTAAACTGTAACTGTGTTTTCATGAAAATACAGCTTAAAATGTAGCTTTTTACCAAGTTTAAACGTGGTTTTAAATGCGTTGTTTTTTGTCCTCAATAAACTGCCCAAAAATAATCATACCGCGGATACAGGGCACCCTCGGAGGATAAACTGTTTAAAATGTCTGTTAAATAACGGTAGATTCTATGCATTGCAGAAGTTGCTGTTTTGGGACAGCACATTCTACTGTCAATTTTTCTCTGTATACTATTAGGATATGGAAGTAAATTTAGGACATGTTAAAAAAAATTAATTCGTCCCTCTCGGACCCAATGAACTGAAGTTTAGTCACGCAGTGAACCATGTGGATTACTACTCCGTATATACGTACGGTTTAGTAATGCTTACATACGACATAGTAAGCTGTACGTACGAATTAAATTTTTTTCTAACTGTGCCCTGAACACATTTCACTAAGAATCTCCTGTTAGTATATAGAAAAAGTGACAGCATAAAGTACAGGCCCAAAACAGCAACTTCTGTCCTGTCAACAGACAACAGAATCTACTTTTATTTAACAGACATGTTTTAAGTGTAGATTTTTCTCAGAAGACGATAAGATGGCCTACGGTGTGGTTGAGGGGTGTACCACAGTGGGAAATAGGCCTGCGGTTTGTAGCTATCCCAGCCAAAACATTGACTGGATCTCCGTCCCTGATCTCCGATCAATGTTGAGTCTCATGGGTCATGGTCTGTGCAAGCTGGGGAGGGTATGTCTATTGACACTTGTCTCAACAATTTTGGTAAGGATTGTCTGAGTTCATACGCGATTGCTTTTGCGTAGGTCTATGCAGGGGGGGGGGTTGAACTAGAGACTCTCTTCGGTCTCTAGAATCTTAACTTTATTGGCTAACAGTTTCAACAAGTTGAAGTATTAGGGACACTGAGCTGATATTAGATACCATATTCGGGGGGAATTTATGTATGCTGTGCACAGACAAAATTGCATTTCGTCCCCTTCGCTGAACAGAGCGCATCGCACGTCTCAAATAAATACGGCATGCTAGCGCGCACGATACGTGCAAGGCACACTGCCAAAGGCGAACAACATTTAAAAACTCCAGTTTCTCCCCTTCTTTTTTTTTACGGTTTTCATGGATAATCGTTGGATTTTTCGACAAAATGACGGAATAATAAAAAAAACCAGCAATCCCGCCCCAATGGACACTTCATAGTTTATAAAAAGGAAACCAATTTTGTACAGCTAAACCTACGAAATGCTACCGTGCATCATGCTCTACAATTTATTGACACATCTTGCCTTGAAATCGCGCCCCTAAAAATTACTTTTAGATTCTTTTCCCCATAGGACTTGGCCACCCAATATCACACTTTGCAGTGGTTACACAATATGATAATAGATAGTGATACAATAGTGACATTCCCTTCTTTTCATTGTACGATGCGGCCATAACATCTCTTCATATTTAAGCCTGACAAGTTCTGTCATCAACATTTTCTTTACAATCAGGTAAAATGCTCACGTGCCAAATTTAAAGTAGAAAGAATGAATTTTTGAATGAAAGGAACGCTATAAAAAGTCTTACCTTGTTAACTGAAGAAACAATATGAAATTACTTTATCAGAATGCTAAATAATTTTTGCTGCTTCATTCAAATTGTATTTTCAGCCCCGATCCCACCATTTTCTCTCGGTAGAGTGCATCAAAAGCCTCGTTTTGGGCGACGGTCAATTTAGACTTCCAGTCTCCAATGATTCCTGTGAGGAGAAAAGTTAGTATTACTTCGTCATTGTGCCTTGTGGCAACATTTGGTTATTTTCCTCGTCTGGTCCTATTTTTATCAAACTTTTGACTACAAACTTAATTAAACATGGCAAGACCGTTGCTTTTATTCCATACACCTATTGTCTAAAACACTAGAATTAATCTGGAGAACTGGACTTGAGTTTTACCTTCAAGTTGTTCAATTAGTTTATCGTATTCTTGTTCAGTGAAGCCAGCAGGCAAAGTTCTGTTCGGCGATCTCGCTATTTAAATTCCTTTGTTTTTTAGAAAGATTATGTGATATCCAAAGCTTAAATTTGCCCGCACGTGAGTGTTAACCTTTTCTGATGATGCCTGCAGCACCAAGCGAGTATTTAGCAAGGATCTCTTTCGTAGTCATAGTGCCAGGGGGAGTTCTATCCACATTTATCTCAGGGCCTGGTGATGGGGATTCTTTCACTAGCTGTGGATTGGAAGCTGATGTGTTAAACCGTCTCTTCATGCTCTCCAGGCTGCTACACTCAATCACACGATTGATAGACTCTTCTGAGAGAGGTTTGCCAAGAAAATCGGCAATTTGGATGACGGCTCCCTTAATATCCTTAGAGCAAGGAAATGATTCAAAAGAACATTCATGTTTTGACTCATTAAACAAGTAGACAATACAGGAAAAAGATACACAATAAAGGAAACCATTGCTATTAATTCCTGAAGAATCTGGTGGCCACGGTTCTACCTTCGTTTAAAACTTCTGATGGCCCCTGTCAGTACAGAGCACTTACAGATTCTGTGCATGGCAGTCTTTCCGAACAAAACCCGACATAATTTTTTTTGTTTCATTATTAAAGAAATTCTTCTATTCTATTGCTGAATTCTTTTATTGCCGTGGGCAATTTTTGTCCTAGGAGGGCCAGGGGCAATTACCAGATATGGGCGTGATTAACTGCAAGCTTGATGAAATTAGTGGACACTAAGACACGTAAGTTAGAAGGTAAATTTTGGGCTTCACTTTCCTATTAAAAAAATATCCTCTTGCCAACTAACCCCCCCCCAAAAAAAGACTGCATACCTTCAGACTCAAACCCTTGCCCTGCCGCTTACAAGTCACGCACTCTTCTGAGCTACCGTGCAACTAGCCAAAAGAGTAATTTTGTTGTATCTTATGCTTGTTCGCCCACCCCATTTATGATAATTGCCTCCAACCTTCCTACGAAAAACGCAGGCGCAACGGTTCAGATACGCTGATTTTTATTATAATTATCCCTAACCCTCCTAGGAAAACAATTACACTTGCCGTACAGCACACTATGTTTTCTCACTTCAATGGAAGTTTTCAATCACCAGTCTCATCGTTATAACAACCGCCATTTGACCAGTTGTAAGTGTATAATGTAGGCATTTACTCATCAGCAGGAGCGTGCGTTTGTACCCACCGACTGAGTGTAGTTTGCTGTCATTCAACAAAATCGTGCTTCCACAAACCTGTTTCATATCCTCGAATTTCAGGAAAAGGAAGTTTTTGTCGTAACGATGCTTCTTCCAGAAATTCAGCGTGTAGTCGAACCAAGACCCATAAATCGCTACGAAAGATCATTATTGTCAAATTGTTAATAGTCAAGTAAAATTAGTGATATCCAAAACTTAACTTATCAAATCGTCTTAAATAATCTCCGAGTGAGAGTTAATGTAAGTTCATGACATTCCATTGCGTGTATTTCCCTTTTACTAATTCCCTTTTGGAAAGGACCATGCTTGGCTTTAAAAACGGGGCAAGGGAGAAAAAAACAGGGCACTAAGAATGTCACTAGTACAGAGATGAGCTTTGCATATAATGTTTGTGATCGTCAAGGGGGAGCTTAATTGATGCCAGTGACATCCACACAAGAAGCTCGTCATTGACGAAGTTGTGATTCTTTAAGAGCAAATGAGTTCCTCTCTGACCAGTGTCAGTCAAGAGAGCACAAGAGTAGATGTATTAAACGGCCACAAGAGTGGTGGGGTGGGGGTAACGCCCCTTTCCCTAAAAAAGAACCTGAAAGAAATTTTTTAAATGAGATCGGGGTTTTTTTCCATGTCATGTTTCCTTCCTTCAAAAAGCACTAAAAGGCCCCAAAAGGTAGCCTGACTCCTCAGACGGCCACTAAAGGTTATCGGAAAAAATCCCAATTTTTGTCTTCCTTAAAAAAGTATGGCCGCCCATTAATTCTTGATACACCCTTGACCAGTCACACCAAAAAAATTGATGTAAGGTGGGACATACTTTGTAACATTGGTACATTCATAAATCTCCCCTGCCTTTTTCCCTTCTAGTGTGGCAGTCCCACCTTGCCTAAGGCAAGATTTCTTGTGACTTACTTTCTCCTTCCAGGAACATTTGAAAAAAACACTCCCAATCTTCATATCGCTTATCAAACTTCCATGGCACCGCAAAGTGCCAAAAAGACACTGCTACGTCCTTAGGGTTACGGATGACAAAAACAACCTGCGTATGCAAAAATAGATAAGGTATAAAAAGGCTGAAATTATAGAGTCCCGTTTTAAACGAAACTGCAATGGCTTATTTTAGATTTTGATACCTTTTCTGCTAGAAGTAACTCTTCATTGTTACCATTATTGAATTTGCACTATAATTGGCCTATCTTGGGATTTACTTTTCCTTTCCCTTGGTAGATCTGCTCAGGAATCTTTTCTTCTGGGAGATGTGAATTGATGATTCTTGGAGCTTTCCATGTAGGTACGTCCTTGAACTCTGGTACGGGTCTAGGAGGACGTCTTGAGCTGACAGTCATGCCTTGAATGGAGTAGTCAAACTCGACAGGAGGGGCTGATCCTTGGGCTCGATTGATCAGTTGCTCATAACCCTCCACAAAAATTAAGTTGACTATCTCCAAAGCCCAGTTCGTGCCTGTTATAGACCATCAAATGTATGCAAAGTTGAAATAACCTCAAACCCCGGCACCGAAGAATGCCCCAAACTGTATCAGCTGCTAAGACCATTCCTAAAACGTATCAAACAAAACTACATTTACCAACCCCCCCCCCACTGTCACCTCCAAAGTGTCATTGGTCGAACTGCATACAATTTATATACGGCTAAGGTTGCCAGTGGGGTCAGTGTCCCCCTCCAACGAAAAGAGGGACGTGAAATGTTTGTGAAAAATAGAGATTAAGGCGATTTGTGAGTGGGATAATTTCATTTCCTTTTCTTCCAAAAGCTTGCAGAGAGCCCTAAATATCACCACTCATAAAAGGTAACCTAAAAATACAAAACTTTTGGCACCCAAGCAATCACCCCCCCCCACAC